TCGTAATAAATAAATATAAGTCTCTAATGAATCTCAAGATGTGGTGTTTGATTGGTTTGACTGCGGATTATGTGTCGTATTGCGGCGCAACTTCTCGGGGGACTGGGAGGCCAGTTGTGTGAAGTCGCGGACCACTTCGTTGAACGTCTCGTCACTGATATTCCCGAACTCCTCGTCGTTCTTCATCTCATCGTTCAGTTTCGCGAGTCTTAAGCTAAACGACACAAACAATAATCACATTAAATATCAACTCTTAAGCCACGGATCAGCTCTCATACAGCGTAACGATGTCTGCGTTGGCGTTATTGATAGCTATGGAGAGGGCGTTGTGGCCGTCCTTATCGGTGCACAACTGGTCGGCGCCTCGTTTTAACAGTAGACACACCTGACTGTCAATACAAACACACATTAGTGACAATCCCTGGCCACCCGTTCCCTTAATACTATACCCAGTATTGCCCCTCTGAGTGGCCAAATGAAGAGGTGTCGTCCCATTATCGTCTGATACGTTAGATTTGGCGCCATTGAGGAGCAGGTATTCACATCCCGTGACCGCATCGCTCATAATCGCCTGATGCAGAGGCGTCCGGTTCTGGTCATCCGTGTTGTGCCAGTTAATGGTCGCCCCCTTAGCCAACCCCTCAGACATTGTCTTCAGATCGCTATCGATGGCCGCGTTATACAGCATTAGGTTATAGTACTTGTTATCACTATTTGGTGTCGTATTGAGCGGACAGTTGCCTGTCGATACACTACTGCTACTACTTTGCGCGCAAACTACCGGCGCTTCGGACGGTGGGCTGACATTGGAGTGGTTTTTGTTGTTTTGGGAATTCGTATCACACTTTTGGGCTGAAGTTTTTGGTTTATTATCGCCACTCGTAGTGACAATGAGTTGCGTTTCTTCCGAGTCCTCGTCCTCTTCGGAACCGCTCTCTTCGTGAGATGTCTTCGTTGTCACCACCTCTTCGGCACCACTTTTATCACACATTTGTCCCAAAGTGTCCGCATTTGTATCACTACTCGTAATCGCATCACTTATTTGAACAATATTTTCATTACTATTACTCCTATTATGCGATTCATTGCTATTATTTTGATCATCAGTTCCCTTATTATCACTAATCATCACAACATCCGATGCTATAGTCTTTTGGTCACAATCGGTGGACAGGTGTTTGTGGTCCGGTTTGTCGTCCGACTTGTCAACAAAGGCTTTCTTAACGTATTTGGCTTTAATCCAGAGCTCCCGTTGGGTGCGATCGCAATCGGGAGTAGCCCTCCGGGCGACCGACTCGTCCACTTTGGCCTCGTAGGAGGTGTTAATGATGGCGTTGCCCAATGCGGACATCACTTTAATGAGCTCCAGGTCCCACGCGTCCAGATTCAGTGAACGCACTTTACTTAAGTGTACGCCGAGACTGCGATGGATACCGGAGCACTCGATGCATAGGGTGATGCCTATGTTAATACTGGCCCACTTGGGGTCAGGCGATCGGCAATCGCAACAGAATTCGTTTCCAGGAATGGCCAGAATCTGAGCGTATGTCACACGCGGAGGCTTAGCCGGGGGTTTACTACCACTTTGAGCACCGGTAGCGCCGTTACCACCAGCGGTCAAGTTGTTAATACTAGTTGAAGACTTGCTGGCGCTGGAAGTACTGGAGGCCGTACACCACGAATCTTGAGAGTCCAGGCTCTGGATGTCGCCCGAAGTGGTGGTGTTGTCGTTGTTGTTACAGTTATAGGCGGCGTCTATACCCGCCTGCATGGCACTGATCCACGCCTGACAGGCCTCCTCCGAGTCGGCCTGAAGTATGTGACTCTTGGATGGGGACAAGACTTCGAAACAAAACCGCCTTTCCATGAACTGCACGGGTTTGGCCGTACATAGTCTCAGGTCCTCTTCCATGACCGTCACGTCCCTCTCGTGCGACCTCTTCTGGTATACGAGTTGGTGGTCCTGAATGATAAACCAGCGGCGGTTCCACGTCTTGAACGCGTTGGACGTCCTCTTAAACAGGTAGCCCTCCAGACGAATGGTGTCGCCTTTGATGAGCGCCGGCACCGACTCCTTGGCCGCCACCAGCGTGTGCCGGCCCTCCAGTTGCTTCTCCAACACTGAGGTGCCGTTTCTCATATCAATAATCTTTAATAAAATATTCAAATAAGAAAAACAGTTGTTATTCTTATCCATAACCACACTCTGAGTCTATGAATAGAAATGAAAAATAGTTTTTAAGAGTTTTTGTCGTCAAATATGTCGTCAAATAAGCTGTGGATTTGGGATGAGATGTATATTTCTCGTATGGATATCACTAGTCATCAGACATATCATACATCATATCCAAGCAAATAATGGATACACTAATGGGGAGTGACTATCAATTCACAGATACATAGCTCACTCGCCAGAATAAATTAACACTAATTAAGCCATAAAACTATTATTACATACGAAAACAAATACAACACAAAAATAACACAACTTTTTGCGATCGTATGTGGAATTGAAAGACAATATAATACAGTAATCATAAATGTTATGAAAAATTGCGAATTCATTGACTCAAAACACTTGAAGGCATTAAAATATGAAATATTATATACACAGCAGAAAAAGACAGTACAAGTGATTGAAACAAAAGTTATGATATTCTAGTTAGAGATGAGTTTTGTAACTCAAATCCATTTCCAAATGCCTTTCATTAATCATTAGCTCTTATGGTGTGTTGGGAACACAATACACAACCAGAAAACTATGTATTTATCAGAAGTGCTGCTATTTTTCTGGTGTTTTGTCTTTAGATAATGGGTTTTGTATTCCTTCGGCACTCGGATTACAAACCAAAACATGAAAATATCATAACCTTTGGACCACTTTTTACATCACAAAACTCTTTGAAGCGTTTAGATAGTGAACAAAAGGTAAGAGTTATTTGTATTCAATTTTATTACTCAAATATTTCAAATATTTTCATATAATTCCCTTCATATAGGGGTCCCCAAAGGGGGTGTTAAGTTCATTGTATACAAGTATTTGGAGACTTAATTTTAATTTTAAATTTTCAATGAATATTACGAATCAAAATTTTTGATACAAGTTTTTAAAATGTTAATTATGCATAATCAAGATAAAACATTAAGCTACCTGTACCCCAATAAGTGCCTTTCCAGTGAAATTCTATACGATATACTCTAATCTCTTAATTATGGTTTTAGATTACTAGATAACTTAAGTCAACAACTATTTAGCATCCAATACAATATTTGAGTAAAAAATACAATACATTGAAACAAATATGTGGCAAACATTTATGGCATAACTTACTTGACTCGCAGTGTCTTTCTTGATGGGATCAAAGTCTTGGAAGAGGTCCGATCCCTGATGATAGTACGTGCCGTACGCGTGCATTAAACTCAATAACTGCCATTATATTCATCATAAACACCACAAATAAAAAAGCAAACATTAGAAAATGGTGTTAATAATTAGCAAATTAACAGATGAGTAAATAATTTGCAATAAATGTCATACTAATTATGCAACTCATATCTAACATCGAGTGTTTGGATAATAATACTGTATTGTACTCTCACTATAAGTATCCTATTTCTACAGTCATTGTAATACTCTTTCACTCCCTAATCCTAAGTTTACTGTTTTGGAAGTCTTAATGTTTTCGTCTCTAACCTAAAAACGCCTAACCCTTCATATCTTAAACGTTATGACATAATCTCTTAATTATTTAAATATTTTATTCATTGAATCTATTAAAAATTCAAAGTTTTTAAAATCTGTCAAAATTATCTATTTTCTTATACAAGTAATAATGAAAATGTTCAACTGATTTACATCTAAACAACACATACCCTGGAGTTTAAGTAAGTTTATAATCAATAAACTAATAAAAATACAATTAATTTTCAATCACCCCTATAGTGAACACCAATACTACCGGTACTCTCAACCCAATTACTCAATTAACACAATACTATGAGTGACAGGTGGGTAAGACCTACCGAATCGAGCACTTCGTGTCGTTTCTTGCTCTTGAAAACGGACAGTTGTGTCACGTAATCGAGTGTCAAGTGCTGGAAACAGGAACGGGTGGCCATCAACAGGTTGGCTGCCTCCTCGCACTCCGTGGGCTTCGTGCGGGGTATCTGGGAGTGCCTGTTGAGCACCGAGTCGTAGTCATCGCTTATTTTGTCAAAATGTCGTTTCGTTTCTTTGGCTTTGAAGATGTCGTCCCTCACGAGGGCAGACATATTCTTGCCGACCGTCCGGTTCGCCTGATCGATGAGTATTGTGTCATATTTTAGGAGTTCCGTCAGTGTGTGTACAATACGGTTGAGGCTATTGACGATCAGCGGGTCATCCTTGAAGTACACCAATAGATCCCAAACGCCGTTTATGAAGTTACTGTCAAACACCACATCATTATCACCACAACATAAAAGTTAGTCAATCATTATTTGTTAGCAAAAAAACTATTATTTAGTTGCTTATAAACAGGGTGAAATGTCAAAACAAATAGTTATTTCAATGTCTAATTGCTAGTTAAGATTCTTATCACTAGTTTGCCGTAAATAAAAGATTTTTAAAAATTACTTTTCTGTCTATAACATAGAAATTAATGCTAAAACTTATTGTAAAATTTAATGAACTTTTTAATTGTGTTTTCATTGCTTGAGTTAACCTCAACTTAAATACTTTTTTCGTATGCAAAAACATATGGCACACACACATAGTTGCCATACCGGTGCCTTCATGTAATTTATCAGAGATTATAATATAATTTAAATTTTCTGTATATAACAAAAAACTTTTTAATCGTACATTGAATACGACCTAAAAAATCAATTTATTAATCATTGAATGAATAGCTACAGTATTATAGTATGTTATTAAATGCCTATCAAATAGAGGTGTAAATTGTTTGCAACAAAAAACACAAAGTTTACAATTTCTCGCATATAATTAAACCCACTTTTCACTCAC